AGTACTACTACTACTACTACTACTACTACTACTACTACTACTACTACTACTACTACTACTACTACTACTACTACTTATAGTCCTAGCAATAGTAAGCGTAATTGTAATGATAGTAGTAATAACAGTGTTTAGAGCAGACATTATATGGACAAACTAATATTACTAAACTACGTATACGAATGAATAAAAGACGCCGTGTGTCCAGAGGGCGCGTGAGCAATGCTCCTATTCAGCCACGTCCGCAGCCTCGAGGCGAGGCAGGGCGGGCCGCAGCGGCGAGCGCGAGGGAAAGGGGGAGCGGAGGCGCGGAGGGAGGGGATGCGGCGTGGAGGAGGAGATGGAAAGATCGAGGTCGGGCTGGAGCTGACGGCGGAGTGGGACGCCGGCGACGCCGCAGGGACGCTGCGCCTCCGCCTCAACAACTCGGGGCTGAGCCCCAGCGCGGGCGCGGCGCTGCGGGTGGCGGTGGCGGGCCCCGCCGCGGGAGCTCCCGCGCCCGGGGCGGCGGGCGGCTCAGCGGGTGTGCGCCCGGCCGCGGGCGGGGCGGCGCTGCCAGCATGGCGGGAGGGCACCCGAGGGAAGCAAAACACGACGACGACGGAGGAGGAGCAGAAGGAGGATGAGGGAGGAGGAGGAGGGATGATGAGGAGGAGGAGGTTGAGGAGGAGGAGGAACAGGAGGAGGAGGAGGAGTAGGAGGAGGAGAACCACGACTCCCCGAGCGCGTGCCCCATACTCGTGAAGTGCCTACTCGTAGACGCCCGAAAGCCACACATGCTCGCCTCGATGTAGGCGGCTCCCGGCCATTTGCGAGCAGTCACTTTCTGCGAGTGGCGGGACGCGCTTGCCCGATGACCAAGGTGTCGCGGGACCTTGTCGGGGTGACCTTGGCCATGGTCCGTGTCGGTCAGAGCCGATTCGCGAGGAGGATCCTCGGAATGGCGCTGACCCAGATGGACGGCGACCAAGGTCGGCACGACGCCTCCGCGTCCAGTCTTGGTCGTGGCCCCTTGTTTCCCCCCCCTCCAGGCACCGCGGTGGTTTTCGAGGCGCCTCCGCTGCCCCGCCGCTCGTCCGCGGCGTACCTGGTCAGCATCGGCCATCCGGGGGGGCGCATGAGGGCACCGACACCGCCGTGCCCCGAGATCTGGGCGCTGGAGCTTCTTCGTGCGGGGCGGTGGCGCCCCGTTTCGGGCCCTCGGATCGGTCTGGCCCGAAACGCGACACAGAAAGGTGGGGTCTAGGGCTTCGGTAGGGATTTTTCTCGCATGGGGCGCTTGCGCCCCGTTTCGGGCTCTGGGGCCCTCACAGATCGATTCGGCTCGAAACCTGATAGAGAAAGATGGGGTCTAGGGTTTCGGTTGTGATTTTTCGCGATGTTGCAATTTGTTCGCAGCGTCGGAGATCAGGGTGCTCCTTGGCCTCCTCTGGGGGTGCGTCCTGGCTTGAATTTCGAGGAGAATCGGAGACCCCCAGACTGTGTGGTGACCACCACGTGGTGAGTCAGTGCGGATTCGGGGTCACGGCACGGTTTTGGGATTCGGGCCGTCTTCTGAGGACACGTTGGGCGACTGGGGCCCCCGAGGTTCCAAGACCGTGCGGTGACGGTCCGCGTGGTGAGGTCTCTCAGGAGTTCGAGGTCGCCGTGCGGTCCGTCACCGCACGCTCCTGGGACGCCGAGAAAATCCAGCCGCGGCGTCGAGGGCTCTCCATGGCGGGCGGCGGCACTCAGACAGGCGATGCCTTAGTTTTTGCAACACGGGGCCCTCGGAAGTCTCCCGACCCCCTTCCCCCAGACCGGCTTCTCGTCCCGAGTCGTCTTCCGACGGCTTCGGGGCCCAGCGAGGACCCCCAGAGGCCCAACGCGGCCAACAGAAACCTCCCGCCAGGAGCTTCTCCTGCAGGACGCCGTGCGCATCTGGGTATCGGAGGAGGCGGAGGAGGAGGAGGAGGAGGAGGAGGAGGAGGAGGAGGAGGAGGAGGAGGAGGAGGAGGAGGAGGAGGAGGAGGAGGAGGAAGAGGAAGAGGAGAGGAGGAGAGGAGGAGGAGGAGGAGGAGGAGGAGGAGGAGGAGGAGGGAGGAGGAGGAGGTCTCTCCATCCGAGGCCAGGGCGGCGTGGAGGTGGCCGGCCTGCGGCTGTGCGCGGTGGAGGCGGGCGCGAGCCGCGCGTGCCACTGCCACGGGCCCGCCGGCGGCGGCCCCGGCTCGCGGGCCGCGGCGGCCACTCGGCGGGCGCTGCCCGGGGCGGGGGCGGGGGAGGACGCCGAGCTGTGCGGGGCGGCGCAGGTCGGAGGGCGCCAGGCAGGCGATCGCAGACATGGATCAAGTAGGCGTGGGTTAGCGACGGCTCCCGTTTCCATGAGAGATCGCGGATTTCCGCCGCCGAGCGAGGCGGCACCGGCCGCTTTTTGGGAAGGGCACCTCCCCCGATCCATGGATCAGGCGACCGCGCGCCAAATCCATGGACCGCTAATCCATGTTTGCGCGCCCCCTAGCCAGTCACCGCCCACCCAACCACCCCAACCCAACCGGAAGGCCCCGATTTGCCCTCCATTTCCGGTGGGGGGGGTCGGGGAACATGGAGAAAACACATATGAAGCCCGTACCCCCCCCAACCCAGAATTCGAGCGAAATTCGGGTCCTCGGGTTGGGCTGGGGTGGTCTGGTAGGTAGTTAGCCAGGTATGCACACTGCACGTTGCACCGAGGCCAGCCTGTCGAAGAAGGAAAAACGCCATAAACATAAACTTTGGATCCGCGCTGGGCCCCCCTGGCGGCGCCTCTGGCGCCGCCCCTGGCGCGCTCCGCGCGCCTGGGAGGGGAGTCCAGCGCAGATTTAAGAAATCCGTGCGGAGCGCCAACAGTTGATGTTTATGGCGTTTTTTCTTCTTCTATGTTGGCCCCATGATGAGTAGGTGTGTGTTTGTCTACAAATGGTATGTGCGTGCCCAGGCTCATACGAAGAGAACTGCAGCACGTAAGCATCGCAGGACATTAGCAAGAAGAGGAATCTGAAGTCGGATCCGAGGAGGAAACGGAGGAGGAGGAGGAGGAGGAAGAAGAAGGAGATGGATAAACAGAGGAAAACGGAGAGACGGAGGATAATGATGATCACCAGGGGGCTGCTGGGAAGGAGGTGCAACAGCGGGACCGCAGTGAACGCAGGCAGGGTTGTCACACCTTGCGATGTGTGTGGTGCAGGAGGGTGTTCCATACTTTGCGATTGCGGTCGAAAAGAAGCTCCGAAGCCAATGTTTGGAGGATGTCTCGAGCGAAACCAGAGTTTTGAATAATATGAGGACAACTTTGAATACGTCAGGTTTCAATTTTTTTGGGACGTTTCACGCGAAGCGGCTGTTTTTCTAAAATCGACGTCCAAAACCATTGAAAACCATGTTATGTGTTAAGCGTTCTATGTTAAGCTGATTGAAGAAGCCTATGCTTTTTGGACCGTGACGTCGCGATCTGCGCGTCCGAGTTTCAGATGTTTGAGGATCTCCCAAGCAGAACGGCCAGAAACATCTCGAACGAGCTGGGATCTTCATTTAATCGCCTCTGAGTTCTTCACCCTCGGAGAGGTGCGTCTGATCATATGTATGTGTACACATTGTCGCATCTGTATTTCGGTTAGGTCTGGCTATGGACGTATGTATAAGTGCATGTGTGCATGTATGTATGCATGCATGCATGTATGTATGTATGCATGCATAACTATGTTTATGTATGTTTGCACGTATAGATGTTTGCTGGGTATTTTTGGTCTGCAGGCATCTCTATGTGTGTATCCTTCAGCCAGGCTTCAGAAGACATGGTCGGACCCTTCCGGGCTTGCCCACTGGTGAGCCATGACCGCCAGATGCAGACCTCTTTGATGAACTTTTTGGGGATCAACGGGCTGAAGTTAGGCAACACGTTTACGCCCGTTCTGGGAAAAGAGTTCCTGTTCACAAAGCTTGGACGTAAACGGACCTCCAGGAGCAAATCCCAGATCGATTACGTGGCCTATGACAACGACAGTACCTACCAGACACGCGCTGAAACCGACATCGATAGTGGAGAGCACGCAGAGTTGAAGAAATCAGATCACATCCCAGTACGAGCTCAACAGAGCACTGGAAGCTCAAGCCGAAGATCGTGAAACCACCGATCATCGATGCACAACTCCGGTGGAATGTCGAGGACCATGGGAGCCGGGCCGCATTTTGGAGTGAATTTACGGTGCATCGAAACACTTGCAATCGTATTCAAGGCTGCGTGGAGGCTTTGCGACACACATTGGAAAGAACCACTGCGCCAGAGGGTACTGATGGACCTTTGGATTCTTTGCGAGCCATTTTCCAAAACGACCAAGCTCTCATGGAAGAGTGTATTAACGAGCGTCGGCGTGGCGGGGCTGCGACACAACGCGGCAGCACGTTGCAGCGAGGAGGGCGGAAGAGACACAATTTTAACGTGCTAGCGAAGATGAGCCGGGAGGACAAGGTTTTTGCATCGACTGTGCCCGTCCACTTGAGCATCCAAGGTGCTCTCACTGCCGACCGAGCGACATGGAAAGAGGCCTTGGGAGCAGTGGCGCAGATTAAGTTTACGGGTACGCAGGACCAGGCGGACAAGTTCTGGCAGAAGGTCGACATGTACATAGCAGCCGCTAAAAATGACGTGCTTGACGGTACTAGCCGGGGCATGCCCACATTTCCTGATTTTGCTTACTTGTTGTCGCGTTTATCTTCCTCAGCAGGCCCTGGGCCAGATTTGATATTGGCCACAGCTAGGAAAGCATCACCGCACTGGCTACAAGTTTGTGTATACAACTTATTTTTGCGAAGATGGCAGGATGTCGATTGGGAAACTGATGGAAGTGACACGTGGGACAACCTTCATTTTGCGAGGGATCCCAAAAGAGGCGAACCCTAAAGATTTCAATCGTTTCCGCTGGCTGGGGCTGATGGATCACTTATATAAGCTTTACGATGCATGGAGCTACGCTACTATTGCTCGGGCTGTCCCAAGATCTGTCCGTGCAAACGCTTTTGGGTACAAGAAGGGTTGCAGCGTAGAGGACCTTTTCGGTGTTCTCTTCGAGGCCGTCTGCTACTCGAACCGCTGGCGTGATGGTCACCTCTGGCTATTTATGATGGATGTCCTCACAGCTTTCGATAGTGTCCGCCATGACGACGTGCTCACTGTTTTCGAGAGCGCGGGCGCATCAGCACATCAACTACTGTCCATAGCACGGTCCATGGCACGGAATGGGACTACCCTGGATATTCCAGACGTTGCTGAATATTGGCCTTTGGACATGTCTATGGCGTTGAAAACAGGAGGCAAGACAGAGCCGGACAAGTTTGTCCGTATGTTCGAAGCTCTCGTGGACAAGTGCGTGATAGAGTGGAATGCAGCAGGCTACGGTTTTCATCTGGCCGATTCGGGGTTGAGAGTGGTAGACGTCAGCTGGGTCGATAACAACTTCATTCTTGCGCGGAGTTTGGAGGAAGGCGTTTTCATGACTCGCATGTTGACGGACCTAATGTTCAGAGAATATGGTTGGATTTGGAAGGCTGAATCCTTGGAAGTTTTAGTCGTCAGTGACAATTTCTCCCAGGATGCTTACATTGGATCTTGCAGCAATTCTGAGTTGGCATTCCAGCGTAAGGATGTCGTGCATGTCTTGGGAGGCGTCCTGAGCAGCAGTGGCCCCAACCAGCAACTCATCGACTACCGTCTTCGACAGGGGGAAAAAGGCTTTTTACAAACATGTGCATCACTTCCGTGGCGAAGCTCCGGTATCTTTGAAATTAAACGCATTCGCTAAAGTTCCGCGCGCTGTTGCTTTGTTCTTTCTCCCAGTGGCGCATTGGACGCCGACTTTGCTCTTGCGGGCAGTCCGCTGGGAAAGGAAACTGCTTCGCCTGGCATTTCGCTTCCAGAGGCGGCCTGAGCAGGGAAGGATTGAGTTTTTGCAAGGAACCGCAACCAGAATGGAAAAGTGGATGGCAAGTTAAGGGTACAAGCCTATTCATCACGTTCTGCTGGAGCGGCTTCGCGCCGGGCTATGGCGCGAACGGCTGGTTTCGGCCATGCGCCAAGAACGAAGCGCCCTCGTGTGGGAAGCGATGATGGACGTGCCCTCCAGGAAACGGCTGAGAGAGGGGGGTTGCGTTCAAGCTCGAGCTGGGCCGGCCACTACGCATGAAGGCCCGTTTCGGGCAGCGTGGGGCGATGTTTGGAGGGCGACGCTGACGGCGTGCGCTGATGCCAAAACATGGAAGACACATCAAGGCAGTTTCGTTCAAAAGGTGTGCGACGCTTGGGAGCTGCCGCGCGTGCCGGCGACCTCCCGAGGCGATGTTCGAGAGCATCTGGCAGCAGCGGCAGCAGGGAAGTACGGAATGCAGGACATAGAGGCTTTACCATATCCGCCGCGGCTTCAGAGAGATCAGCTTTGGCTGAAAGGGGGCACTGTGCCACAGCTCGAGTTTGTGGTCGACTCGTTGACGATAGCCAATGTTGTAAATATGGAAGCTTGTTGCGATAATCCAGTATACAAGCCGGCCTTTGACCGCGTCCTCACGAGATTGGCGGACTGCTACGATGAGACATTCCAGAACAAAGCTGCCTTTCTGCCGACGCACGAGTGGAGGCCGCGCGAATGGAACGTCACCGCAGACCGACTGTGCAATATATGTCTGGACGTGCGGGCTGGGTTCCGTCGCGATTTTGTCGCTGACATCGGCGCTGATCTTCTGCGAGGCCACTCGCTCCAGGTGTATTCGGATGGTGGGCTCAGAGGTACCGCGGGAGCCGCTGCCTTTGCAATATTTTTGGTTGACACCAACACAGACAACAGCTTGCGACTGGCAGTGGTTGATGCAGTATGCTTACGCAACCGAGAGTCAGCGTTTGCTTTAGAAGTGATCGCTGCAGACAGAGCCGTGTCGGAAATTTGGGAACTATTCCGTCAGAGGCGGCCTTTTTGTCTCGGAAGAGAAAGTGGGAACCAGAGCAGTAGGAACACAAGCATATCATATGTTTCGCAACTCGATCAGGGGCGCGCGAGAGGAAAACATGTATATATGTATGCATGTATGTATGTATGCACATGTGTGTATCTATACATATATATATGTGCATGCATGCATGCATACATGTATGTATGTTTGTATGCACATTTGTATGTATTTGTTGTATGCGTGTATGCATGCATGTATCTATGTATGTTTGTATGTACGAATGTATGTATTCATGCATGTGTGTATGTCTATGTATGTATGTATGCATGCATGCATGTATGTATGTATGTATGTATGTATGCATGCACGTATGTATGTATGTATGTATGTATGTATGTATGTATGTATGTATATATGTGTGCATAATATATGTATTTGTTTGCCGCCCCACATGATCATACATAACATCCATATATGTATGTATACACAACTATTCCCCTCCCTCATCAGCTCCCTGCTCTCCGCCGCTCCTCCTCATCCTCTTATCCTCCTTCGGCGGGGCAGTGCAGCCTCGGGCTGAGGGCGGCGGGGTAGTGCAAGGCTTCGTAGTGGGAAATGTTTGGAAGTCTCCGCGGAGGGATTCTATTGGGTTGGAAAGCGCCACACAAGAGATTTTATGGGAAAGCCTCACACTAGGAATCCTTTGGAAAGCACCACGCAAGGATTCTAATGGAAAGCCTCACAACAGGAACCCTTTGGACAACACTACACGGGGATTCTATTGGATAGGAAAGCGCCACAAAAAAAACGATTTTGATGGAAAGCCTCACACCAGGAATCCTTTGGAAACCGCAACTAAAGTATTGATTCTATTTGAAAGCCGCACAACAGGAATCCGTGGGCAAAGCACCACCAAAGGGATTCCACTGTATTGCCTCACGACAGGAGCGCTTAGGAAAACATCGCAAAAGTTTTTTTTTTTTTTTTTTTTTTTTTTTTTTTTTTTTTTTTTTTTTTTTTTTTTTTTTTTTTTTTTTTTTTTTTTTTTTTTTTTTTTTTTTTGTGTTATATATATATATATATATATATATATATATATATATATATATATAGGAAGGCCTCACAACAGGAACCCTTTGGAAAACATCACAAAACGGGATTGGAAAGCGCATCAAAAGGGATTCTTTTGGAAAGGTTCACAGCAGGAATCTTGTGGAAAGCACCACGCAGGGATTCCACGGGAAAGCCTCGCAACAGGAATCCTTCGGAAGGCGCCACAGGGGGGTTTTATTGGACCGGACAGCGCCACAAAAGGATTCTATTTGAACGCCTCGCAGCAGGAAAATTTTAGAAAACGCAACAAAGGGATTCTCTGGGAAACCCTCACAACAGGATTCCTTTGGAAAGCGCAACCAAGGGATTTGATGGGAACGCCTCACAACAGGCATCCTTTGGAAAACACCACAATTGGATCCTATTGGATTGGAAGGCGCCACGCACGGATTTGTATTGGAAGCCTTCTCAGCAGGACTCCTTCGGAACGCACCACGCAGGAATCCTATGGGAAAGCACCACAACAGGAACCCGTTGGAAAACACCACACAAGGATTCTATTGGATTGCCTCACAAGAGGAATCCTTTGGAAAGCATCGCGAAGGGCTTATATTGGAAAAGCTCACACCAGAAATCCTTTGGAACTCACCACTGTGGGGTTCTATTGGAAGGGAAAGCGCCGTACAGGGATTCCATTGGAAAGCCTCACGACAGGAATCCTCTGGAAAACACCACAGCGGGACTCCATTGGAACGCCTCACACCAGGAATGATTGTCGCCCAGCAGGAATCAGTTGGAAAACACAACCAAAGGATTCGGTTGGAACGCCTCACTGCAGCCATCTTTTGGAAAACACCACACAAGGGATTCGATTGTAATGGGGAGCGCCACAAAGGGACATTATGGGAAAGCTTCACACCAGGATTTTTTTAGAAAGCGCCACCCAGGGAATTCTGTTGGAAAGACGCGCAACAGGAATCCTTTGGAAAAGCGCCACTAAGGCATCCTATTGGACTGCATCATAACAGGAATCCTTTGGAAAACATCGCAAAAGGTTTCTATTGGAAGGCCTCAGAACAGGGGCCCTTTTTGGAAAGCACCACGAAAGGGATTCTATTGGATTGGAAAGCGCCACAAAAGGGATTCCAGTGGAAAGCCTCACAGCAGGAATCCTTTGGAATGCACCTCACAGGGACGCCACGACAGGATTCGATTGGAAAACCTCACAACAGGAATCTGGTGGAACTCGCAACAAAAGGATTCTATTGGATTGGAAAGCGCCACGAAGGGATTAGCCTCACGCCAAGAATGATTGCCGCACCATAGGAACCCTATGGAAAGCACCACACGAGGATTCTATTGGAAAGCCCCACAACAGGAATCCTTTGGAAAGGACCACAAAAGGATCCGATTGGATTGGAAAGCGCCACAAAGGGATTCTATTGGAAAGCCTCACACCCGGAATCCTTTGGAAAACGCAACTAACAGGGTTCTATTGGGAAGCCGCACAACAGGAGTCCGTGGGAAAAGCACCACAAAGGGATTCCATTGTATTGCCTCACAACAGGAGCGCTTTGGAAAACACCGCAAAGGGTTTCTATCGGAAGGCCTCACAACAGGAACCCTTTGGACAACACCACAAAGGGATCCTATTGGACTGGAAAGCGCCACAAAGGGGATTCGATGGGGAAGCCTCACAACAGGAATCCTTTGGAAAGCACGACGCAGGGATGCTACGGGAAAGCCTCACACCCGGAATCCTTTGGAAAACGCAACAGAAGGGTTCTATTGGGAAGCCGCACAACAGGAGTCCGTGGGAAAAGCATCACAAAGGGATTCCATTGGATTGCCTCACAACAGGAACCCTTTGGAAAACATTGCAGAATGTTTCGATTGGAAGGCCTCATAACAGGAACCCTTTGGAAAGCACCACGAAGGGAATCCAATTGGATTGGAAAGCGCCACAAACGGATTTTATGGGGAAACCTCACAACAGGAATCCTTTGGAAAGCCTCGCAACAGGAATCCTTCGGAAGGCGCCACAAAGGGGTTTCTATTGGATTGGACAGCGCCACAAAGAGATTCTATTGGAAAGCCTCACAACAGGATTTTTTTGGAAAGCGCCACAAAGGGATTCTCTGGGAAATCCCCACAACAGGAATCGTTTGGAAAGTACCAAAACGGGATTCTATTGGCAAGCACCACGAAGACCTTCTGGGCATAGAATACACCAACAAAGCACAATGAAAAACAAACAACCAAAGAAACCAATGACCCAGGGCTCAACAACCCCAAAAACACAAGTTACAACACAAAAAACCAAAACAAACAAAGTTTGCAACACTTTCTCTGTAAGGGCGACGGGGACGGGGTAAGTATGTTTTTTGTTTGTTTGTTTGTTTTTTTTCAGCCCGTTTTTTTTTTTTTTTTTTTTTTTTTTTTTTTTTTTTTTTTTTTTTTTTTTTTTTTTTTTTTTTTTTTTTTTTTTTTTTTGTTTTTCAATGCCCAACCTCCTCTTCCTCCAACCCTCCTTGTTCTCCTCCTGTCTCCTCCTCGTGGAGGGACTTCCTTTTTGTGCTGGAAGAATAGATTTGTTTACGTATGGTTTCCATCGGAAAACAGCCCCCTGTGTAAGGCTTTTCAAAACGAGATCTCTTTGTAAGGCTGCCACGCTCATGCAGGAGGAGGAGGGTGGGGAGGAGAAGGGGATGAGAGAGAGAGAGAGAGAGAGAGAGAGAGAGAGAAAGAGAGAAAGAGAGAGAGATAGAGAACGAAGAAGAGTGGAGGAGGATGAGGAGGAGGAGATATGGGATGCATGGAAGAAGAATATGTATGATCATGTGGTGGTGGGGGGCTACCACATATATATATATATATATATATATATATATATATGTATATATACTCATACACATATGTCTATACGCGTGAACATATTAATGCATACATCTGTTTGCGTATGTGCATAAGTATACATAAGTATGAATATGCATATGCCATCCTGGCCTAGCCAGGAGGGCGTAGACACACAACTCCTGGGCTTAGGGCCTGCGCCGGGATCGGCGCAGGCCTGTGCACACGGCGCCCTCCGATCAGGGGCTGCAGCCGGCGTACGCAGCGCAGCCAGCCGCGGTGGCCGCCAGCCCTCCGCCGGGGCCTGAGAGCTGGCCGCCCCCGGCCGCCGTGGCGAGGAAACCCGCGCTGCCCCCGCCGAAGTCGATGAAGAAGGCGCTCAGCCACGCGCAGAGGGGGGTGGGGGGAGGGGGGAGGCTTCTCAGAAGCGCCCCCTGCTGAGAAGGCGCGGGCCTGATCTGTAGATGCAGGGCCCCAGCGCCTTCGAAGAAGCAGCCTCCTTCTGAGAAGCCCTCCCCCCTCCCTCCCCCCCCTTGTGCGCGCCGCCAATAAGGCGCACGGCACCGAGCCGGGCATGATCGTGGGGGCCCTGGTCCTCGCCGGCGCGGGGGTCTGGCTGCTGCTGTGCGTGTCGTGCAGGTCGGGGGGACACGCAGAAGACTCGATTCTTCCAGAGCTCGGGTGTGCCGGCGTTTTTTTTGACGAGCGCGTCCTGGATTTGGACGGTCCAGTTTTCGTGGGATGCTTGCAGCGGGAGTTCGCATCAATTTTCAGATGCGGTCTCGTCATTCTGATGGTGGCCCCGTTGGGCCAACCCGATGTCTCCCGCACCCGAGTTTTACGCCTCCCCGAGCAGGGGCCGGGCGCGCATGCAGGCGGGCGCGGCGAACGACGACGAGACGGAGCCGAGCCTGAGCGCCAAGGAGGGCCCCGCGCGCACCTTCGGCCGCACGTCGCCGGTGTGAAGAGCGCGGCCCCCGATCGAGGCCGAGGTCACCCGCGCCCGGGGCGCGGTGCTGCTGGCACTGGCCGTGTCGGCGAGAACGCGGAGGCCAGACAATCGACGAGGACTCGGGGCGATCGAAGCGGGAACACGATGCCCAAGAGCAGTTCCTGTTCATTCTGAGCAGGACTCGCTGCCCGCGCCGCCGCGGACGTGGTTCACCGAGGACAAGAAGCCGCCTGCCCAACAGCGGCCGCTGTCGGTTTTGGACAGCACTTCTTGTTGGACACTGCACCCCCCCCCCCCTCCCGCGGTCGCCCTCCCTGTCCCCTCCCATGCTCCTGCACTGCGGCACGATGCTCGCTCGACGGTGTCCCCGTTTCTGCAGCTCCTCCGCCCGCGCAGTTGCCCTGCCCAGCCGCCGGCGTCACAGAAGTTGGACATTGCACCCACTTTTTCCGCACCCACTTCGGGCGTCCCAGAGGACGAAGGGAGCCGCGGCCCGGCCCGCCCGCTCCGAGCGTGGCCAGCCTCGCGGCGCGGAGCGGAGCGACCACGTCGTGTTGTCCCTCCTCTGCGCGAAGGGGGTCGGCTTCACCGCGCCGGACGGCGAGGGTCCAGGCCGCCCCAGCGGAGCCAGAGCCAATGGGGTGGGAGGATCGCCTCACACCGCCGACGCGGCGCGATCGAGAGCCCGCTCTTCTCCTCTCCGTGCCGATGCGTCGCGGATGCGTCTCGCCGACGCGGCTGCAGCTCTCTGGGCCCCGCTCGCTCCGGCCCTGCCAGCGGCCTCCAAGCGGTTTCCCAGACTTCCCGATGTCATGGCTTTCTCCTGGTGTGGACCCCGGGCGGTCCCGACCTATTCCCTGGGACCAGCTTTTCATGCCGAGTCGTTTTCCGACGGGGGCCCCCCAGAGGCCGAAACTTTAGGAACAGCTCCCCTTGACTTTTCCGTCACTTTGGAGGAGGTCTCGACCCACTCCAGTCGGCGAAGAGAACTATGCACATGCACCGATCCTGGCAAGGCCCACCCTTGACCCAGGATCGGTGCATATGCCTTCCTGGCCAAGGCAGGAGGGCGTATGCACCGATCCTGGGCTCAGGATGGGCCTGGCCAGGATCGGTGCATGTGCATAGTTCTTGTTCCTCTATCCAGGTTTTCCATCCCGAGTCGGTTTTTGACAGTCCTGGGGCCAGCCAGGCGAGGGCCTCGGGAGGCCGAAGCCTGAGAAAGCCGTCGCTCCCTTTTTTCATCGTCCGGGCCTCCGCCTCGAGTGGCGGCACCCTGCGGGCCCCTCCCCCCTGCAGGAGAGGGGGTGAGGCGGGACCAGGGGCGGGGGATGATTATGAGGAGGAGGAGGAGGAGGAGGAGGAGGAGGAGGAGGAGGAGGAGGAGGAGGAGTAGTAGTAGTAGTAGTAGTAGTAGTAGTAGTAGTAGCTAATCATAATAGTAGTACTGTCTGATAAACATACGAATACAGGTAGTACTATAATTCATCATAATAGTAGAATTGTTATCAATGCTGCGAGACACTCTCACTATATATATATATATATATATTTATATATAATGAACGGTATAGTTAAGACACATAAGAATGCTACTAATACTATTCATAGTGGAAATACCAATACTACTCTTCATACAACACAAATAACAATATTACTGTGCATAAAAGAGGCATTCACCATGCTAGTCATAAAATAATTATGTTATCATTAACACTGGTACTCGTACAATTAGAGACATTAATGCTACAAGCAAACATGATACTAGTACCAGTATAGTAATAATATGCAGGATTGTCATGATACTGATACTGATTATATCATTACTACCATTACTAATAGTAGAGGAAGAGAAGCCATCAGAAGGCGAAGACCACGACTAAGACTAATAATCGTATTAGTTAGAATGACAGTGATTCGACGAACAATAATATCGTGATCATAGTGGGTATACCAAATATACAAATATCAATATTACTGATACCACTTACAGTAATACTAGTATTAAGCATACTAAGATCAGTACGGATAATAATACATGCGTTATTAACACTCTTCATTAACATTACCACTACTAATAGCAGTACTCAACACATCGCAACGATAACACACATAAAAGGAAGAGGAGGAGGAGGAGGAGGAGGAGGAGGAGGAGGAGGAGGAGGAGGAGGAGGATATGGAGGATGGAGGATGGAGGATGGAGGATGGAAGATGGAGGATGGAGGGTGGAGGATGGAGGATGGAGGATGGAGGATGGAGGATGGATGGAGGATGGAGGATGGAGGATGAAGGATGGGGGATGGAGGATAGAGGATGGAGGATGGAGGATGGAGGATGGAGGATGGAGGATGGAGGATGGAGGATGGAGGATGGAGGGTGGAGGATGGAAAATGGAGGATGCAGGATGCAGGATGGAGGATGGGGGGGGGCGTGGTGTCAGTCTGGGCCATGGTCAGAGGTGCTGGCGTGCCCGCCCGCCGCAAGGCCGCCCGAGGGGCTGCGGCAGAGGCTGGCGCCCCGCCCGCGCCGACTCGCGGGGCCGGCCCGCCGAGGTGCAGCGGCCGCTCGGGGCACGCTGGCCAGGGCAGCCCGCTGCCGTCCCCACCGCGGCGTGCAGTGGTGGCCCTTCGGCGCCGCCGCCCGGCGCGTCTCGCGGTTAGGTCGACTACGCGCAAGAGTGACCCTTCGCTGGAGCGACCTTGGGTGCGGGCCCACTGGGGTGCCACGATCGCCGAGTACGGTGCGATGGTAGCGTCTTGCGCGCTTGCGTTTGGTCCCTCCGCGGCGTTCCAAAAGCCGCGCGCTAAAGGTCACTCTTACCCAGGGTCACTATTGCGTGTAGCCGATTCGGGTGCAGCTCCTGGAAGGTGGTGTTCAGCACCGGCGCTGGCATATCCGTGGTCGGCAGCTGCCCCAATCAGCCACAATCCCGCTTCAAGCCTCCCGTTCTCGCGCAATCCGGCCTACTGGAAGAACCCTCCAACAAGCTCCCAAAAACCTTTCCGATGACGGTTTTTGGAAGGCTTTCAGGAGGAAGCTCTCACGAAACCTTCCCGAAGAAGGCTTGTGGTAGGCTTTCAAGAGGTGGTCCATCGCTGAGGCAGGGCCAGTCCTGCCTGACGGCCCCCCGAGCGCGCCTCATAATTAGCCTTAAGGCGGGCCTGTCCGTCTACAGGAGGAAGATCAAAAATAGCAGAACAAATTAGTCTGGGGACGATATTTCTATTATTTTTGAATCATTTGTTTGAATTTATCATTTTTTTTTGGACTTTTCGTCCAACATCGGCCTGTCGGGGGACACGCCCGACCTAACATTGGCCTGCAGTGTGCGTTCCTGCGCAGGGCCTCCTGGGAGCGGCCTCCCCGCCTCGGCGGCCCGGGGCTCGGCCGGTCGGGGCACGCGCGGGCGACGCGCGGCCGCGCGGGGCGACTCGGCCGGGCTCCGCGCCGCCTCTGGCGGCGCTCGCGCGCTGTGCCGTGCCAGGCCGCAGTGCTCCGAGCCGCTGCTCGGCCGTCCCGCTCCCCGCCCTCGTCCTCTCAGTATCGTTCCACCGATCCCCATCCCCATCCCCATCCCCATCCCTATCCCCTCCTTTCAGTATACGGTCGGTATCGTTTAACCAATCCCCATCCCCATCCCCATCCCCTTCGAGGCCCCCCCCCCCAACTGCCACCCCAGTCGGGGATGCACCCCTCGAAGCCCGAAGAGAACGACATATATCCCCTATCTGGGGGGGTGACTCGGCCAGTGGGGCCCAGGCCACGCCGCTGGGGATGGGAATCGGTTAAACGATACTCATCCTTCCTGCTTCCGCGCTGCTGCTCTACTGTCCTCGTCTTGCTGCTCCTCCCCTCACTTGTCGTCGTCGTCCTCCTCTTCCTCCTCCTCCCCCGCCACCTCCTCATCGCCTTCCTCCTCCTCCTCCTCCTCTTCCTCTCTTCCTCCTCCTTTCGTCTCCTCCGCCTTCATCCCTACTGGTTCCCTACCGGTTCTTCCTCCCTCTTCATCTCCCTCTCCCTCCCTGTCCCTCTCCCTCTCATTCCTCCTCCTCCTCCCCCTCCGCCTTCATCGTCCTTCTTTCTTATCATTCCTTCCTCCTTCCTCCTTACTTTTCTTCCTCCTTACTTCCTCCCTCCGCCTCCTCCTCCTCCTCCTCCTCCTCCTCCTCCTCCTCCCTCTCCACTTCCATCCCCTGATAGATAAATCCTCCCTGTCGCACTGTCAGACGTGTTGGTATGGCGGGCTGGGCGTTTCGCCTGAGACTTCCTCACCATCTATGATGATCCTGAAGCTTGAACTTTGTGCGACACTTTCATGGATGGAGGGCGGGTGCTTTCAAAATGTGGCTCTCGCTTGAACGCCGCACACATTCGTTTTATAGGCTTGCAGCTACTTCACGGATGGAGAGCGGGCCGTTTCCGTTTTCAAAATGTGGTTCCCGTCTTAGCGCAGTGGATATTCGTTTTTCGAAGCTTGGAGCCGCTTCAAGGATGGAGGGTGGTTCCTTTCAACATGTTGCTTTCGCTCTAGCGCCGCGCACAGTTCGTTTTCAAAGCTTGCATCCGTTTCAAGAACTGGCTTGGTTGAAGTTCCAGGATTGCTGTTCTGGTGCGACTTAGGTTTGTCAGGCCACAGCAGTCACTGTGATTCGTGGCGCTGAAGTCCCAGGAATGCTGCTCCCGCACGACGATTGAGGATTCTCAGAAGGTTTTCTTCCAATGGGGCACTTCCCGCAATGACAGCAAATTCTTGTAGAGACTGATGAAGGGAAAACTTGGAGGGACGGTTTATTATCATACTGACTGGTGTGATCTCGCACTGTCGACCGACCGTGCCTGGGTGTGCTGGGATGTGTCGGTGTATTGCCTCGGCGTGCTGGGGTCCGTGTGCTGGGATCCGTGTGCTGAGATGTGTCGGACGTACTGCGGTGTGCGCCAGGGGCTGGGATGCATCCTGTGATGCGCTGGAACACGTGCTGGCTGTGGCCCCCCTGGGTGTGCCGGGATGTGTGC